TTTCAACTCTCGCCTTGCTCGCAGAAAAGAATTGCGGTGTGAGAGAGAGACTTATATGCCAGGAACGAACAGAAGAGTTTCGGGCATCGGCGCAACGAGCTCGGGGTGTTTTTACAGATCTCCACACCCTTGCATGTGTTTGTTCTCCACACCAAAAGGCGCATGCCTTTTTGGGAGTTCTTCCGTTCCTTCACAGGACGTCAAACTAGATTAGACCTTCTCCAGAGAATCCAATTTAAAGCATTTGTTGGGATATTCATTCCGCCTAGAGCTGCTATGGTTTGGGGATGGTTTGGGGTGCTAAAAAATACAGGAGTCTGGACTATTAAGTCTACTATACAAATAAAGTGTTTGGGGATTTTGTTTCGAATATTTTCCATTCTTGGGACAACATTGAACTTCAGATTTAAGTGGCGTTGGGATCTGTTCAGGAACATGAACATCTTATTTTCCCCATTGGGATGCATACATCATCATAATCTCAAGTCCTTCCAGCATCATCGCCACTGCCACCTACTCTTGGCATTCATGGCTTTGATGAATTGGACGCCAAAGAGGGCGCAGAGTGCAAAATGCTGCACTCCACCGAAAGAGGAGTCTCGGCCCCAGTGGGATCCACTTACCACCTATAGCTGGTAACCAGTGGTTTCAAAAGAGGAAAACCATAGACCGAACGAAGGCGCTGGTTCCTTCAATCGTGATCACTGGGATCCACTGGGTCGGATCATCGTCCATCGGAATTGGGAAGTCAAAGGTACGGAGAACTCATCCATCCTTTCTTGCGCCAATCAGTATACCGTAGGTGACCTAACGGTCTCCTTTCGACAACATATATCACACTCCCCCCCAAAGAAGTCGGAGGATGTGAAAACTCCAGAACTGGAGAGAGAGGTGTATGGCATGGTGTGCTCGTCCTTCCGACTTGCTTCCATGTCAAGTAGTAAAAACCTCCTCTCTTTCACCTGGCATCGCCTTTTTACGCCACTGTGCCCACAGGCGGGCCTGGACGCGGTGACCCCGTGCAGCGAAGAGGACCTGCAGAAGGCGCCGTCGTTCCACGACCGGTCCAGTATGGCCAGTGGGACGTATACAGCTTTGTCTTTGGTTGTTTTCCATCATCGCTACATACATATGCATGTGTATTTTATATATAATTAATATATATATATATTGTTTTGTTTTTCCCATCCGGTGTTCAAGGATGGTTTTTGGTTGGATGATGACACTAGGAACCAACCTTTGGTTCTGACCAAAAGTACCGGACAGCCGTTGCCGTGTTGGACACCCGTAGCCGTTGGACAATCCTCTTAAGCTTTGAGGAGTGCCGACCCTCCTACCGACCCTCCGCCTTTTGGTCTGTGGGTCGATATGCATCGTTGAGGATTACAACTCCAAAATCATATGATATAATTCGGGATTCGGTAGGGCCAGGGCGGGGATGCAGAATGATGCAGATCTTTGTTCCATGGTGTTTCCCATTTGTCTTATTTCTTCACTGTGACTACTAGCACATCGTTGTTTGTGAAGTGAGGATAGTTCCTGTGATATTGGTAGCAGAATCACCTCAAGCTCGTTTGGGTTCGATTTCATTCATGTTGACAAAAACAGATTTGTTTGACAACAAATTGGGAGAATGGGGTAACGAGAATACAAGAGGATTCCGCACCCAATCGGAATGCATGTTTGGCCAAGCTGGACAGATGGGGATGGGTATCAAACATGAGCTATTGGGGGATGTTTTTGTGGAAGTCATGTCATATTCACGTGACAAAGAGTATGGACTCGCCGTAGAGATGCTGAAAACAGGCTTATATACAGGTGGACTCCCTGCTCGCTACTCCCTTCCGTCCTTCCTTCGTCACACGGTTCGTAAGGTTCCACTGGTCGGTCTCAGGCACAGCTGGCGAAGAGCAAGGCCTTTCAGATGGCCAAGCTCATCCCCCGACCTTCGCTGCCGCGCACCGTCTCGTCGGGGGCCCCGCACCACGCGTCGAGCACCACGCGACGACACAGAAAATCGTCGACCGTGGTGTTTGGTCACGTCACGCTGCGAAGGTGAAACAGAGGAGTCAGTCGGGAGTTTGCGCACACTGCATGTTGTGGGAAAACTGCATGTACAGCATGTACGTCCATGTACCACTTACCAATAAAAATAACATTCAAGTCGATGATGCGCCCGCCTGTGTGCAGCACAGTTCAAGCCAAGCTGCTGCGGATGTTTCTTCAAGACCCTTCAATCAGCTAGAACTTTGGGCGCCCTTCCATGCAAAGCCCAAAAGAGTTGTTTTACTGCGTTGCGACAATCGCAGATCCAAAGTACAATATAATTATATACAGTATAATGCAAAGAAATGGAAACAAGAGTGGCGGTGGTCTTGGAAGCGTGTAGGAGCGTTAGTCCCTTTGGGAAAACACATAGCCATCCTTACAAGCAGTCAGAATGCCTGGAGCTTTACACGCTCTGACTGCTTCGCCAGAAAGTTTATTTGCCATCGCACATGGGCAGTGGAGACCAGACAGCTAACGAACGACATTCGATGAAGAGCATGGCCTTGAAGCAGCCAGGAAACACATGCTGGATGCCTTGTGGGCCCCATCAGAGAACAAAAGCTGTCAATTCTGAACATCAATAACAGTAATTATATAATTAGGTACCCTCATTCTTTCAAAGTACGGATGTATTGTAAGCAAAACCAAGGTCGTGCACTTTGCTCATTGTTGTTTGCCAAATAGTTCTATTGAACCACCCTGGCAACCCCGGGCAGCTCTAGACAAAAACGCTGCTTATGCGCGTACAACAAAGCAACCAGTTTCCACGTTGCAAGAACTTCCAAAATATGCATTCTCACGGATTGGATTTGTAACCTCACTTCCAAAATAACAAACTTCCTCATGGATTGTTTGTGTTTTTCCACGGCCACATATTCCAGACTCTGGAATCCAGAGCGCTTTGTTGAATTGACAGCCGCACGAAAGATAGCGCATCCCGCATAAGTTCTCCCAACGGATAAGGCCCTAAAAACAAACAATTTAACAAACAAGCCAAACAGCACAAAATATGCACATGACTCAACAACTGAGGGTCTAGGATTGGTGCACCTAGGAGTTCTGAGAGCAAAAGGTCTAACAACATCTTTAAACCACTTTAGACCCAGTCAACTTAAACAGGTTAGATCCCAAATATCGGATTTGGAGTCCTGAGCTCTTTTGGCCTAAAGGCAACATAAACCCTCGAGGAATTTCATGTCAGACCATTTTCAACAAAACAAGCTATTTTCCTGATGAACTTTCATGTATTGAAATGTGTCATTCGATAGATAGCAGAAAAACCCTGCTCTTAGACTTCCATGGCTTCACCGATCATGGCATTCTGAAGCCCTCGCGAGCGACTGCAGAGGAAACGAGACGCATCCAACCACCAAAGGCCGTTTCTCTCCTACAAGTTCATGTGATAAATGGAAGTGATCACATCGAATAACAGTAGGCACCTCAACAAGCACCTTCAAAGGAAAGCCCTTCTGAGAAGCGAACACCGGCGCATCTGGAAACTCAAGCCACATGTTGTCTTTCTTGGTGCGCAAGTAGCGCAAGCAAATAGATCTTCTGCGCACACACACACACACACCTGCCCACTAGTTGCCGGTATCACATATAGCATATATATATATATAGAATTTGAAATGCATGTGGAAGAGTTGGGACCTGAAATGTTGAAGAACGCGGAAATAAACAGGTATAGAACTTCATTAGCTTTCTGCTAGAGTTGTATTTGCGGCCCACTGGTGTAGTCGATTGGGATGGGTTGAAACATGATCAACACAGGTTACGAAGGTCCCAACGGTGCAAGCCCTTTAAACAAGCCCGCACCAATGGCCAGTGTGACAACCAGGAGGGACGTTAAGTCGTTGATGTTTGCAGTGTTTGCCACAAAGAAAGGGGTTGCTAACCCAAGACCTAAGACGGAAGTGGCACGGTCGGCGAAAGTGCTGTCCAGTGCTTCGTTCGTTTTCCTGACCCTTCGATGCGAGGGCCTTCACCCGCCACGTTCAGCTTTGGACGAGATTCGACCCCAAAATAGACACGAACGAAGATTGAGGATTTATTTCTTAACTTTCCTAATTTTGGCAACGAAAGCGTGAAAAACTAAAACACGATTGGAGGTCTCCTTGTGTGCTGGCACGCAGCGAGGAATCCTGAGCTGGATCGCTGTCCAGAACTGGAGGCCAAATTGGTGGTTTTCGCGGCGCATTGATCCATTGATCCTGCCCTTACGAAGGGTGGGTGCTTGAAGGGTCCCTCCCATGGGGGCTCTGGAAGATGTAAAATGAGCGAAGTATGTCATGCCGTGCATCAATTGCTGACACGGAGTCACTTCGGGGGTGGTAGTGATTTGGAGCCGCAACAAGTTCGCATTCCCAATCTCAAAGGGTCCAAGAGTCTGCGACCCTGTCCTTTTTTGGACAACAACCTATGGACCAAGTGGCAACGGCTTATATGAAATCCGGACCCCCCCCCCACCTCTTTAAGATTATGTTCACCCACCCCCGCCTCTTCAGGATTGTGTTCAAAATAGCTTGGGTTTGTCCTATTACATGTAACAGCCGGTAAACAAGTATCGCTATTTTAGAGATGCCGGCCTGCAAGCTAATTAGCCATCATCATGCACTGGGCCCTGGGTGTCTGGGATAGTATGATAGTACACCAAAACTATAGTTTTCCTTCTGCCATTGAACCCCACGGGTACTTTTGAGTTCAACCCACCGAACCACCGTGAATGCGTCCATTTGGCGGTTTCAGGTGGGAACCCCAGTGGCCTTCTTTGCGCAGAATCGGACTCTCTACGGCAGGGGCTCTCTGATTCGTTGGACCAGGAGGTTTCATGGAGAAGGAGGTGTCTTCAACAGACACCGATGAGACAAAAAAACACATTGTTGTATATAATCTTTTGTGGGATTGGTAGGGGAAAAGTGATCCGTGAAATTTCAGCACCTTCCACATTCAGCAAGTCGAAAAGTTCTGGCAGTTGAATCCAGGTGTTCAAAACTGAAAACCCATCCGCAATATGCGCTTATCTGCACGAGTGCACATGAAACACTGGACAACGTCACTTTAGTGTTGTGTATATGAGCAGAAATGATTTCTGTAAAACACAACAATATATTCTAGCACAATCCTGAGTACAAAGTATGCTGGAACATTCCAAGGTTCAGGATGAACTGACATTCCACCCAAGACGGGGAATGGACTTGATGCATATGACTCATGTCATGTCCTTAACTCACCAGCACACTGCCCGGCAGGCGCCCGCTCTCGATGTCGACAGCGGGCGGACCTCATCGACTGAGAGAACCAGTGTTGTCCTGTCAAGTTGCCTTAATGAGTCAAGACCTGTAGCTGGACCACCCACCTGTAGCTGTCCAGTGACACTCTGCGGCACCGGCGCGTATGACACTCTGCAGAGAAGCAGGGTCACCAGGTTGGTCTTCGTCCGCATCCCGCGCAATGTTTGGCTCAGAACGCTTGAAATAGTGACCGGTCTAGAAGCCGTGTTGCCACTATGCCGAGGATGCTTGTGGGGCGACCTCGGGTTGGACGAGGTTGGAGAGGCTTTGCCTAAATGGAAGATCGGTAGACCATGGTAAACTGCCTTTGCAACTAGAAGGCAATGCAAGTCTTGGTGCGCATCTCAGATTTCTCGAATTGGCAGTTGATTGGAAAATAAGAACCGAGAACCGTGGTTGGGTCTCCTGCTTGTACGATTAATGTTTGATATTGACTTGCAGAATCAATGATGGAAAGACCATGGCCACGGTGTTGGGGCTTTGTCTCGGGGTGTCTCGTTTGGATAATTCGATTTGACAATGTTCTACTATAAGATGATATTATGGAACAACTGAGGAATGTACTGTACTTAGATACCAGAAGTACACGTACCCCAGAACCCAAAAGCAATGAATGCATGACTGATACAATGAACGCACGCATTAGATTTTAGATTGTCTTTCTATCCAGGGGGCCCACATGGACATTCGGTCAGACATCAACACTGGCTGGGAGGAGCAATACCTTCAATGCGGTGGCCGCCAGCATGGTGCTGGGGGGCCTATTCAGCATTATCCTGATGGAAGATCGAAGCTTGGCAGATCTGTATCGGTGCAGAAGATTTGGTGGTACTGGTACTGCAAGAACGTTCCTTTTTTCACCCATGACCTAGGGCTTTGTTAGGTGGGCCGGTTCAGACACTCCACGCAACATGAGGAGGTACTTGAACCATTTTGAAAGATCAGAGGAGTATATCTTGTATACAGTATATATATAACTATGTATGCATATATGTAGGTTCACCATTCCGTTTTACTAAGTGCAATGATGCAAGAGTGGCATATTGCATCTCTTGGTTCCAATTAATATATACACAAGTCTACCACTCATTCACACTGATTTTGACAGATGATCCCAGTGAATCCAAAACAATCCATATATCGAGCAGATTCCTACTTCTGGGGAGTCACACAACGGCCAATGTAGCTGTGTAGCTGCTCAATGCATTGGATGGTTAGGGGACTGTGGATGATTTCCACCCTAGAAAATGACCTGAAACGCTTTAGATCAGTGTCATTCAGCACAAGGTATGGTTCCAGAGGTTATCAGCAAAGCTGCAGCAAGGCAGCTTGTGAATCTGTCCACGTGTTTGCTTCTGCTCATGTCATGTTCTGGGTGCTCACCAGCAAAGCAACCAGTTGTTGAAACCCATGTTATGCGCTGAAAGAAAAGCACAGATGCGTTTGAGCTGACATCATCTTGCAAGCCACAAATGCCATGCAAGGGCAATGCACGGGCGATTGTGAACCACCCAACGGGCAATCCTCTTACGGCGCATCTGCTGGGCGCACCGAACGTCTCTTCGTTACGCGCGCGGGACCGCGCACACGCTTTTGACGCACGAATCGACGGAGAATTGCTATCCTTTTTGGGCCTGCAACAGCGCAATGAAGTCCGAACCGAAGGTCGACAAATTCAGATGGAACCTTTTTTTGTATTGTTTGCTGATGGATCCTGTGCTTGATGCTGATGCGGAGCGAGGGAATGTGTTGTACCTTTATTCCTTGAGGCTTTGATTGAATGTGACCGTTCATTCTTGCATGCTCCTGGACCTGCCGCTGTCTACCAGCGTTGCCAAGTTGGACCTTGCCCAGGAATCAAGCAGGTCTTCATGCCAGTTCAGGAGGCCACCTTGTCCAGCACATGATGTGTCTATTCACAACTTGAGATCTCTTGAGAATCTGGAACTTTCAGTTTATATTCTTTCCATGTCCTTCCCGACCTAAGTACCTGGTGGTTTTCTGGGAGCAGTTGCCAATGGTAGCCAAGTCTAGAGCAGTTGCCTGAGGGCAAAACGCCTCGGAAATCCAGGGGAAATCGGTCACAGAACATCGAACCCATGTATTTTACAATAATCATAAGCTCATATCCTCAGGCAAACGGCCAAATTTGTTGAACACATATGTGTATATATATATGATATAATATATATATATTATAATATATATATATATATTGAACTTACATTGTTTGTCTTTAGGGTGTACATGGATCGGATCCATGGCTTGCAAGGGCTTGGAAATCACTTGGAGTCAGCGAGTTCTGTTGTATTTTTTTCCGAGCTCCTTGGACCACGTGCTTCAGAAGCACGGTTGATTCACCTGCATGATGCATGACTTTTGGGTGATTCTGTTTCCATCCATCGGGTGAAACACCACACCACGCTGCTGACCTGGAAGGCGCTGGAGGGGACCTGGTTCGCCAAGCTGTGGCTCTTAATCTTGCTGAGCAAGGCGCTGGTCCAAAAATGCCGTCCACCTGGTGTTCTTTGTTTGCCTTTGATCACCACTGCTATTAACATACTGACTATTGTTATGTGGTTTTTTCCGTTTTTTGATCACCACGGTCCGGCACCGGTGCCGGGTGCGTCGTCCGCCCAAGGGCCTCGGTCCTCGGTCCGCCAGGCACCAGAGCCCAGTCCGCTGGTGGTGCTTTTGGCGGCCCTGGTGACCTTCTTCCCTCCGGAGCAGCTTTGGCCACTTGGGCGGAGTCTGCGGGCGGCTGTTGGGGGGGAGGAAAGGTGTTGGGGGTTCGTTTCAGTTTGGTTTTGGTAAGTTGGGTTTACCAGCTTTTGAAATACATGACAGAGAAAGCGCTTTCCTTGTCATGATTTGTCATGCCCCCAGCCATAGCGTCCATGAAATCAGTGCTACAGACAATCATAGCACAGCTTGAACAGGATGTCCAAACAAACTCGCAATCACACGGACCTCACGATGATCCGTGAGGGAATTACCGAGTTTTTGCTACTCCTGAGACCAATTTGAGGTGAATCGTAGTGGTGTCAACGCCGGGAGAGCTGATCCTTGCTCCGTTCGTAGCGGCCTCCAACCTATACTTGCAATGGCCTCCACCTGTCCTGGTTATCACCGACCTCGCGAGTATCACCATGATATCACCGACCTCGCGACCTCATCTGGTCGATCGAGAAGCCGCCTAGGCTGAGTATGGTCGAGTCCATGCCGAAGTTTGTGGGGGACGCCCGGGGATTCGATCGACGGGATGGATGGTTGAAGCAAAGGGATTTGTGATCTTTCTTGACTTGACTCAGCAGCTCGGAATAAAGCAGTTCTTTTTTGGTCACGGCAATTACAACGGTCCAATCCAGAGTTGACCATCCTCAAAGCTACGAAAAGTGATGATTTGGTGAAACACATGGAGTTGGGCCAAGCAACCTTCCATAGGAAGTGCGTTCAATGGTTCAATGTCATGTAATCTTACGCAAGCACAAACGCCCTTGAACAGTGGCCACAGGATGCCATTGTGCCTTAAACATCCTTAAACTGTAAACTGAGCTGGTCATCCTTGCAGCACTGGCCAAGACATAATTAGACTTCATCCTGATCAGAGTTACACTCACGTGCACATCACTTGGTTCCTTAGCAAGAGTAAGACTCTTCAACAGATCAAATCGAAAGACCACAGATCTGCCGTGTCCACCACATGTTCCTCAAACTCAGCTGGGTTTGCTTAGTGTTGCGGTCCATGGGTTCATGAGGGAATGAGCCCAGCCCCATCGCCGCGACTCGGTCCCTCCGGCGTCGCGGCTCGGTCCCTAGGCCATCTCAAGCGTTTGGAGCCCGTGCCGGGGGGGCGACCGGACGGGCGTGCGTGCGTTTTGAACGACAGGACGATGGGAGCGAGCAGAGTGGAGGTACCAGGGGCATCCACATGGCCCATCAAACACCTGGCTTTCCTTAGCAAAATGACCCTTGAAAGACAAAACAACGCAACAACTAGCCACTTTGCAGTACATAGATCAACAATGATAAGCGCAGCAACATCTTGGAAAGATAAACATGTTGGGTCCCAATCACACAAAGAGACATGCAGTATTATAGTTCCAATACAAATGCCGCTACATACAGCATAAAATATGTTAGCACTTGGGGGGGAGGCCTTTCCGGCCTTTCCGTCTTTCACGCCATTGGAGCGCGCGCCCAGGTCGACCCCACAGGTCAGGCCACGATGATGTCCCTGCTGCTGTGGGTCGCCTGGCAGAAATCCCAATTCCATGTGCCCAACTGCCCAACCAATTGGGTCTGAGGGTCTGAGGCTGGAGATGTAGACCTGGTTTTGCTTAGGGAGATGTGTGATTTTCCTGTTTGGGGCGAACCCCTGTTTGGGGAAGATACGTGTGTTTTTGTTTTTTCCAGCTTCCGTAAGTAAGTCCAAGTAGATGTCGTCCCCTGATCCACCATTTCTGAAGTGAGTGACACTTGGGTTGGGGTGATGGGTGAT